CATAGAGTGTGCTAGCCTTAATGTCTACTGCCATGGTATTTTGTAGCCAAGTGATGACTATGTCATTACAACGAAGCCAGTATTCTAGCAGTGGACTATCAACATCAGTAGGTTCACAGATGCTTCCATCAATGAAGCTGAGTTTGTTTTTGATTCGAAGTGCCCTTTTCATCGACCTTGCCCAAGAGTGATAATTGCTTGAGTCAAGCATCTGAGTTACCAGAAGTGCTCCAGAGTTTTCGTTGGCTCCAATGAAGTAGGGGCTATTTGGAAGAGATGGATCTTGGGCATTTTGAATGGGATTTGTGTTTTGCTGTGGAACTTGGTTTTGGTTTGTATCAGTAACACTGGTTGTTTCATTATCAGCCATTTCTCTGATACCATAAAACAAATGGAACAAGAAATGTAAATAATCAATGCACCAGTAATTTGTCTGTGAAATGTGAATCTATTTTCGATTGATTGAATGGAGAAATTACAAAAGTATATATAGACAAAAATTACAACAATCTTGCTCATGTGGCAATAATAAAAAATCTGTTACAACCAATAAATGGAATCTATTTTAACATCCTCCAGATTAGTGCTAGCACTCCTTTATTCTCGCAGCCTTAGTGCCAGTACTCCTTCATTCCAGTAGCTTCCAGCAGCTTCTAGTAGCTCATCTTCACGATTGAATCTTCAACACATAATGTTAGTGTTCACGAATGTGCTCAAGGATATAATCAAAATGTAATTGAAAGAGGTGGCACTATTTTTTGTTGCAGTTTCCAAACCACACTAACTTTTCTAATCTAGTTTGTACGTGTATTTGTCACTTTATTAAATAGTTTTTAAATCCAAGTTTATATGTTAGTTAATAAATTTCACTTTATTAAATATTTGTCACATTTTTTATTTCTCGTCACTTTTTTGAATAGTTATCACTTTTTTATCTTTTTTAAAAAGTGACATATGTTACTTTTTATCAAAAAATTGACATTTACGTTTTAACAAAGGTTGTTATTTGTACATTTTATTGGGACAACAATTTCAATTATTTTGTCACTTTTATATTATTTATCTTGTTGACATTTGCCTGCATAAAAAATAAAGAAGTTCTAAATTCCTGTGTTAATTACGCTCAAATTAATTTTTCACACTCATTCAACGAGATACTTCAATCTCTATAAATAGAGACCTTCAGATTTATTTTTTGTACACCAAATCAATTAATATATTCTTAATTTCTAAATTCGTTCTCTCTCCAT